ATTTTGTCTTTGTGTCTTAAGATTTATGACCTTAAACAAGTCACTTAAGCTCTCTGAGCTCAGTTACCTCAGCTTTAAAATGTGACACTAAAAACATATTTCCTAGTTCTTTTCCAGTGAATAATTATGAACCCTAAATGAGAGCACAAATGAAAGCAGTTTTGAACTGGGACAAGCAATGCAAGAATTCATTCCACGTACATTGGGAACTGAATACTTTCAGAATTCTAGGAGTCATCTTGGGAAGGAGAGAGTTAAAAAGAGCCTGGACCAAGTAGCTAATAAGCACCAGGGCACTTTCCACAAATTACTTCACTTAATTCTAGAAGTCATTTTCCAAGGTAGACATTATTATTCCCAATTTATACACAGGCGAACTGAAACCCAAGGAGATTAGAAGCCTGGCCAAAGTTATATCACTGAATAAATAGAACTGAAAATTGAAGCTGGGTTTATCTTGTTAAGGCACTGCACCTTGCAGCCATCCAGCTATTCAATTGCTTCCAAGTCAAAAGCAAACAAAATATTGCTTCAGTCAGAAGGGGGCTAAAAAGACCGCCCAAACGAAAGCAGGATCACCAATCAGCTTTGTCTTAAAATAAGTCCTGTCCTCTTTTCAGCATCCCTCAGTGGTTTCCCTTAAATAAAACCCATCAGGCAATCTGGCTATAGGCTCTGTCTCTAGTCCCATCTTATCCATTCCCTTTTTATTTTACTCCAGCCACTTTAGCCTTTTGATAGTACTTTGAATATACCAAGCTCTTCTTCATAGGGTCTTTGCATGTGCTGTTACCTCTGGATCTTCATAGGGTCTTTGCATGTGCTGTTACCTCTGGATCTTTGTTCTTTCCCCACTCCCCACAAGTATGTAACTACTTTATGCTCCACATCCCTCAGGCTCACTTAACTGCGCCCTTTTTAAAAAGGCCTTCCATAAAACCTCATCTTCTCTCAGCTTTCTGTTTTCTTCCTTTAACACTTATCATAATTTATTATTAAAGTATTCACCTAGTTGTTTATTTTCTTCCCCACACATCCTCCAGGAATACAAGCTCCATAAAGCCAAGAATCATATTAGTTTTCTAATGTCGGAAGACCTAGCACAGAGCAGTTGTTCAATGACTTGTTAAGTAAAGGGAAAATGGGAGAAATGAATGAAAAGGATGGTATTTAAAAATGTATGTGACCTGAATTTATTTGTTGTAAGAATCTAAAAGGAGATAATGGTGCCTAGCACATAGTAGTCAATGATTCATAACTCTTCTCTATCGAAAATATACCATTTGGATAAAAGCTCCTGTTTCAAAAACTTTAATAAGACTTGCCTTATTTAGCATATTTGGGGAAAGAAAACATTCTTATTTATTTCTTCTTCCTGGTGGCCTGGGAACAGCTGAGAAGCAACTGAAAAGGCTCAGGGTTATGTCACTTCCAATAATCACGAATGGACAAATGAAAGTTAATAAGAAGAACAGAACAGGATTCCAGCAATTTCATGTCACAAAGTAGTGATATTGATCTCAGAGAAGTCACTTGATGTGAGGGTTCAGACTGATAGCATTCAGTCTGGCTTTGTCACATGTGACTTTAGGCAAGTTACTTAGCCACTCTGTTCCACAATTTCCTCATTGAAGAAACAGGAATAGCAATCTCCTTGCTAATAGGGTTATTGTGAGGAATAAATAAAATCATTATAAAGACCTTAAAACAGTCATTGGCACAGAGTAAAGAAAATAAATTTTAGCTACAATTATTTCCTGGGTTTTTGTATGTATGTGCACTTGTATGTGTGAAATGTCATTAGTGGATGAAGATCTTTTTTAGCATGAACAAATTATTATTCAATGAGTTAAGTTTAAGAACTAAGTGAAATATTTTGTGATTTGAATTGTTTGAGAAAACTTATCTTCTTGAATTTCCTATTTGTATTATTATTTTTTTAAGGTAAAAACAGTGTTGGAAAGGGAAAATGGGAAATAGTTAGCAAATCCTTTACAAGAAAAGGATCCTTGAAGTCTTGGGTAAACCTTTGGAACTTTGCTCCAACGTGATCCTTGTCAGGTGGGGCATGACTGTGCAAAAAAGAGTGACAGAAAAACTAGGAGAAGAGAATGAGATGAGAGGAGCACTTATGGGAAACAGATCTAGGAAAGGCTGAATAAAAGGAGATTTTGGAAAATTGGAAAGAATTCAGAAAAATAAATAGCACTAGGAAAGCTAATGTTAATCAGTCACTTCCCATGTACCAGGCACTATTTCAAGTGCTTTATATTCATTAAACTCATTTAATGCTTTCATCCACCTTAGGAAATTGGTACCTTTATTATTCCAATTTTACTTATAAAGAAACCAAGGCAGAGAGAGGTAATGTAGCTTGCCCAACGATCGCATAACTTTCAAAGAAGCTCTTCATTTAAAGATTCAATAAAATGGATGAGTTGGCAGATGTATGATTCATTTAGAGTTGGAAAGGGGACAAATGAGGATAGAGATGAGAGCTCAGTTTATGTAGATTTATAACGATGTTACTGAAGTTTTAAATTCTAAAAACCTTTGTATCCTTTTAGAAAGTAATTCTGAATTCTGATCTGTTTTATCCGCCCCCCTCAAAAAAAATAATCGGATTGTACTAGAGAACATCATAAAAGATATGCAACAATGAGTTCTTTTGTTTGGATGAAAAGCAGTATCAAGTTTAAGAGTATGCAGTTCTACTATAGTTGTAATAATTTTTTATTACTCAGCCCTGCTTGTGTCTTTCCTCTACCTTGCTCCAAGGACCAATATACTTCCAACAATAATAAAAGACATTAACATAGTAAGAGAAAAATAATCCAGAGGTTAGGAGCTGGCCGTAGAAGGTAATTCCTGGGGCACTATAAAATCTCTGTTTACTTGGTTTGCAACCAGGAAATGATAGTTAATAACTATCATTTTTCCGACTCCTCTTGCAAGTGCAAATCCAATACAATTCTTCAGTGGGGCACAGTAAAAAGAAAATGCAAAGGCATTTGAAAAAGCTCACCCATTTAGATTTAATTACATACATAACTGGTGTCCTCCCAAGTGTGAAAATGCTGCTAACCCATAAATCAGACAATAATATTCTGTCTGAGCAGATTTATAGAGAAGATGTGTGAGTAATCAAAATTCACTGACTTACATTGGATATTTTTATTCCGAAAAGTTTTCAAATGGAAGAGCAAATAAATGCCTGTTCTTTGAATCTTGTCTTCTCTCGAACTTTTAGGCCAGTCATGTTCCCTAGAGGGGTGTTCTTGTGTAATGACTTTGACGAGAACAGGAGATTTTAATCTTAAAAACCTCTCTACGTTAAAGGATTACTAGATCTGTGTTTGTATATTAGATTAACCACCGTCTCATGTTTCTTACATGTTTAATAAATAAATACTAAATTAAGCTTAAGTAGAAAGACTATTTCACACTAAAGTTTCCTTGAGATGTACGTACAAGAAAGAGTGCAAACTTCTGCAAAGCCAAATTCTAAAAAATGTGACCTTCGGATTACCAAATATTTTCCCAGGTAGTATCATAGGAAAAAAAAAGAAGGACTCTGTAATAATAGTAGTGAGGTAATTCAATCATTGCCAACAATTTTGATCTTTATGAAATGCATTTTTCAACGTGCTTGCTTTGGATTGAAATTTCTTGCGACCCATTTGGAATAAGAAAGTTGGGAAGTCTGAAGAAGTCATGTCATCTTTTGGGCATACCTTTGCCAAATGTAAATTGTTGGAAGATATGGACTCACCACATTTTTTAATGTTCTCGTTTGGAACAAAATTAAATGGAAAAATCTTTTCCCTTTTAATACCTCGTGAGAATAATCTGTTAATATACAAAATAGCTGCTGGTCAACCATGTTAAAGGCACAATCTGCTCTCTGCAGATACTTTTCTAAGGAAAAAAGCCAGTCAGCTGAGCAACTTCTTCATTTTTGTGCCTATGAAAATGAAAATGTAACCAACCGTAGGATTACAAAATCATCCATGGTTAAGTAAGGAATTAATTAAATAAATAAATAATAGCAAAGTTTTTACTTGATCATTAAATTATAATGCTCTTGATTATTCATTGGCTAATTCAGAAAGCAAAATGGCTCTCCCCGAGTTGAAATAGTTTCTTTCTTACTTTACTTTCTACATCACACCATAAAGATAACTGTAAGTGATTTGGTTAGACTGGTTTCATCTGTTTGTTTTATTCGTTTGGGAGTTCTAGGCTCTGACAGGAAAGCAGGTATACAACAGTGTGAACCAGGCAAAGTTCAGAGATATTCTTGAACAATTCAAACAAGAATCATTGCCTTATTCTCCCTAGCTGTGGATGTTTAAGTCTGGGTCTGGCTCCTCCTCATTTCTCCATATATTTATCAGTTAGCAATTAAACAACTGCTCCAATGGCAACAAACTTGGCTGAAGAAATAAATAAGAATGCTTTCTTTTCCAAAATATCCTAAATAATGCCCAGTCCATTTGAAGGTTTTGAAACAGGAGCTTTCATCTAATATTTAGACTCAGGTCCTTCGATTTTGACACTCATTAAACATATAGAAATATCATGTTACTTCAGCATGCTCTGTTTCTTTTTCTTTGTTTTTCTTTAAATATTTCCCATTTGTTTGGCCTTTTAAGTATTTGTTTCTCTTTATCATACACACTGGGTTATGGGTTATGCTGAAATTAATAGGACTGCTTAGTAAAGTCCACTGAATCCTGGTACAAGAACCTTCATGCAGAAGAGAATGCCTTTCATTTAAAAATATTTGTAAGAAATAAATTTATGAAAAGTCTCCTGATGTGATTTAGAATTCATTATTTGATCAAGACACTAAACCCAGAACTGCATTTTCCAAGCTTTTTATTTTTATATTTGCAAAGGACTCTTTACACAAGTTTACTTAAATTAACCTTTTATGCTTTATATAAATGTAGTTTTTATAAACCTGAAGCAAAGCAGCAAATATAAATTCTACTAACCTTAGTATATTGAAACTTCAAATTGGCAACTGGGACAGGTAAGTCTGGCATGCCTGAGGACGACATTTCTGGTTCAGATCCTGAAATACAAGTGACAGGCTCAGCGATTTAGTTCTGATAGAGCACTTGGCTTTATTTGTTCCTTTTTATCTGCACGGGCTAAAGTTTATTTGCATACTGGGATATGATTGGATGAACAAACTCCGGAGAAAAAAGAAAATGACACTACTTATATAACATCTACTGCAGGAAGCCCTTGACTTTAAAGTTAAATCCTTAAGAAGCTGCATCTGGAGTCAGGGCACTATTTGCAGACGAATTAATTTACAAAGCCGAAACCTGTGATGAGAGTACACAGCGCAGCTGTTCTGGCCACTAAGGCCAGTTATTGTTTTTTTTTTTTTGGCTTTTCATGCTTTTTAAGCTACTGTGAAACTTTCCATTCTCTGACAGACTTGCAATCAGAATTTGAGAATTGAAAAAGTCTAAATGGGAACTTGTTCTCAGTAGAAGCTGGTGAGGAAGGGACCCTAGCCAGGCGTCTTTAGGACAATGCCGGCAGGTAAGCAAGGTGCTGTTTGGAGAAGAAAGGTCCTCTATCTAGATCCTACCCAAGCCAGTTAAAAAAAAAAAATCATACTAATCAAGTATATTTTAAGTCTGGGTAAGTAGACCTACTGTAATTTCAGAAGCTCTAAATTATCTTTATTTTATATAAGGGAATAGAAAAGTCAGCAGGATTTTTAGAGAACTCAGGGTGCAGTATCATATACACACACAGTCACCGCAGTAGCAATATGGCAATATAGTCTGTTAAAACTCATCTAAAATGAAAGTAACCTCTGTTTTTGGAAGTTATATTTATCCATCACTGATACAGGCAATTGTACAAAGAGTGAATTTAAATAAGACTCTGAAGTAACTCAAATTCTTAAAATTAAATTAATGTTTCAAGCTGGAAACATTCATAAAGGACAAATATTAAGTACACTACTCCCATTTTAAGTACAATATTATATTTTATTGAAGCTCTAGCAAAAGTCACAGTAAGAACAAGATAGAACACTTTAGATGCTCTTAATTCTGATTACTAAGAATTGAGAACAATGATTTTTTTCCCAAGTGAAAATTGCCAGCTCCCCCAAATATGAGGTTAAGGTAGAAAAAGAAAGGCTGCAAGTTACTGCAAGTCAAGTGCTGGAGCCTTGCTTTCTCTTTTGATCCTACTTAGTTCCCTATTTTACCGACAGAAAGAAAGTAGCTTGCTTATGATCACAAGTATAGTAAGTGCACAAGAATTTCATTTCCCAGAGAACTGGTTGTTTTGGTTCTCAAAGTGAATAGTCATTCTCAAAGGTACTCAAACTTAGCCTTTTATTCATCTCAGACTGGGGGGAGCAAACTTTTTCTGTGAAATGGGACAGATATTTTCTGCTTTCTAGGCCAGATGATTTCTGTTTTAACTTACTGGACTCCACCTAAACTCATTAATGTATCTGTTATCTATAGTTTCTTAGAAAGAGTTTAGGTGTTTTCCAGTGCAATTTTATTTACAAAAACAGGAGGCAGTCTAGATCTTGCTCACCGTCCAGCCCCCTCGATACTAAGGCAGCTATTCCCAAGATTCTTGCTTCCCCTGTTCCTCATGCTTGAAGACCAGATAGAACCTTCTGTGTTATTTCAACATTTTTTGTTCTATCTCTTTCTCTCCTCCTCTCTTGCTCTCGATTTTTTTCTTTTTGGAAAATTGAATTGTTTCCTCTTTTAAAAATGTGTTTTGAGTTAAACGCCCAATTACATACACAACAGCTGTTACATAACTTGCAGATCGGTGCTCTGGCCATGCCCAGACAGCTGTGTTTTGCTTCTTTCTTCTACTCTCAGCGTAACAGTTTGTGCATTCAAACACTGGTTTATTTGATGTGTAGGCAGTGTCGTCTACTACCTGTATGCTCATCCTTGATCCTATTTTATTGAATAATTACGTAAGAACAGGTTCCTTTATATCAGACATTACTGAATGCAGGTAAAAGGAGCAGCTTTGGGAACAGGTTACCACACCCGCCAATTTAATTGCAACAAATATTTACCAAGTATCTTTTATGAGTAAAGCATTGTGATTAAAGTATCAGGAACTCTTTAACCTTAATCTTACATGAAGGGCAGGTCTTTCCTGCCCGGAAACCAGAGGGCCTGAGATCTCTATTTCTGAGGTCAGCTTTGTCCAGCCCCTAGAAATTGTCTTGAAGAATAGTATGTTCTGGGACTTGTTGCATGGGTAGAAAGTTTTACCAGACCATTTCCCTCCCTTACAGAGAGAAAATGGTTTTGGTGCGAGCACAGCGGCCAAGGAGGCACACCTCAAGACTGGACCTACGGTTGTGCATTTTTATTGTATGAAAATATTATGCTGCAGAGGAGGGGCTGGCACTTTAACTTGAAGGTAATAGACAAAGGATGTTTAATCTTCCTTTCCTTCTTGAAACATCTTAAATTAAACACACACACACACACACACACACGGTGGTGGAAGCACAGTTTATTCTTTTCTTGATTCTGACTTCTTCCAGCCCTTTGTGAAAACTGTCATTATACCAAGAAAGATACAGACCATGACTTCAACCATTGCTGAAACCACTGTCTCATTTTACAATGAATATTTCCAGAACTCCATTCGTGCCTCAGTCTCTGAAAAGATAATGGAGCCTAACCTTCTCCCACCCGCAGGAGTAATTGAAATAAAAACCATTCAAATTTGTTAACAAACTTAATTGTATGGTGGAATAAAAATAGCCTCTTTCCACATTTTCTGGATTCAAAATTCAGGATCGATATGTTGGAGCTAAACCTCTTTTGTTCAGTGACATTCCCCGCTCCCTGACTCCTCAGTGTTGCCTTAAGCATGGCTGGTGAGTCTGCTGGTTGGTTAACCCAGCAATGGATATATCCCTTTGCTTTAATTTACTGCAGTTTTAGCAGACATCACATTTCTCGTATGCCTATTTGGGTTTTAATAATTTGGGAAACATCGATCTTGTGTAGGGTGAAGGAAGCTTGGTGTTAAAAATGGAGATGAAAGGCAGCATTTGAGTATGTGAACGTATGTATCTGTGGGCTAATTTCTGTTCATCTGCCATTCTTCTCCAATTAGCAAAATTTTCTCACCCCTGATTTCTCTTCTTCTCCATGTCCTATCACTGTTTTCTCTTTGTCTTGCATAACTAAGATATGGCAAATGTCCCTCTTATCTGATACAATTAGGGCACTAATTAATGAGGTTGCTAAAAGAAACAGTAGATTAAAGTGGCTAAAAGATAATTATTTTAGTTTAAATAGGTTTTTGCTAAACTTTATGAGCCAAAGCCATTTCTTGGAACTGGGTCTGCTGCTGGAGTTTGAAGTAACCTTACATAAGTAGTGTTCACAATGAGTTTGTTTCTTCAAAGTAGAGAGAGAAATTAAAGACACTAAAGACATCTTTGAAGCAATCTGAATGTCGACTACTTTGAGATTTTTATGATTTCTCCATTTTTTTTTACAGTTGCCTTTTGCACAAATTATACAGCAATGTGCTTAGCAACTTGACAAGATTGTTTGCATAGCAAACAATCAATTTAGTTTTCATAGAAATAACTCTTTTTTTCTTCCTGATAAATCTATAGTTTAAATAACATTTATTTCAATCACGTCATTGAAATACTAGGTTCATGCGAATGATCAGGGTTTGGAACAAAGAGACTTGACTATTGGTAAGCAGAGGAAACTGTGCCCTAAGCTGAGCCATAGACATGAGTATCAGTACTAACATTTTTTTTTTTTGCTTTCTATTAATTTTTTTTATATTTAAAGCATTTTTAAAGTCAAATATACCATATACAGAAAACTGTAAAAATTATAGCATACATCTCGATAAATAGTCATAAAACGAACAAAACAAAATAACTACCACTTAGGTCGAGGAATAGAACAATATCATCACCCTATAACCCACTTTATACATCCCTACCCCCTTATTCCTCACCCTAAATTACCAATATCTTCACTTCTAATGCTACATATTCTTTTCCCCTGATTTTGAACTTGATGTAAACAAATCATACAGTCAGAAAACTTTTGCACGGGAAATTTGGAGGTGCAAGTTAATCTGGCAAGTGAGTTAAATGATGGTTGTAGGTAAATAAAGTTTCACAGAGCGTACTCCCCACCCCAAAATACCCCAGTAAAAATAAATATAAGTGCAAAAAAAAAAGCAGCAACATGTTAGCATTTTTATGAGCAGAGGGTTAATTTTTCATTCCAATCACAGTGCATATAAAAGTGCAGAGAAACGGCTCTTCTCCTACAGTGTTGATCAGAGCTTAATCGCATTTGGCAAGTTACATCAGAATATCAAAAATGTTCAAAACTTCGATCCGGTTACTTTACTTCCAGAAACTTATTTTAAAGAAACAAATATGTGTAAGTTATTGACAAGTATCTCTAATATAATATTTATAAAACAAAAAAATACCAAATGATTATGTAAATCAAGATTTAGCGAAAAAGAAAACCAAAACACAAATATTTAAGGAAGGACCTGGTAAGCTTTTGTAACATATTGTAAATGAATAAAAAAGCAGCTTATAAACCTGTGTGTAAGTATACTAATAAATTGTGCTTCACTCTTAGTATTTGGCTAAAATTTGCAATTTGGCTTTAATCTCAGCTTTAACATTTGGAAAGCGAAATAGTTGATTGTTGACTTCAGTGTCATTTCTGGCATCCTGAATTTATGCATGATCAAAACTCATGTGATAACCTTGATTATATTTTATATAATTTCCCCAAGCTTAATAATGGCCCTCAAAGATATCCCTGGAAACTGTGAATGTTACTTTATATGGAAAAGGAAAGTTTGCAGATGTAATTAAATTAAGGATTTTTAGATGAGAAAGTATCTTGGGTTACCAAGTGAGCCTTAAATGCAATCACAGTGTCCTATGAGAGGCAAGCAAAGGAGGTTCGACTACAGAAGCAGAAGGTAATGTGACCACTGAAGCTGCTAACTCTGACCCTGGCGGAAGGGGCCAGGATCCAAAGAATGCAAAGAATGCAGCTCTAGAAGGAAAATACAAGAACATGGATTCTCTACTCGAGCTTCCAGAGAGAGTAGGTACTGACCATTTCTTTGATATTGGCCAGTGAGACTCATTTCAGACCTCTGTAAGAAATCTAAGAGAATAAATCTGTGCTGTTTTAAAGCACAAAATTGTAGTAATTTGTTATAGCAGCCATGTGAACTGAACACACTAATCAATGAAAGCACAAGTTCAGGGACTTCAAAAAATAAGTGCTGTCGCCGATCACTCACTAGTCATTC